CTTTCTGTTGTTGTAGTGTCTGTTGTGGTTTCTATTGTTGTACTTTCTGAAGTTGTAATACCAGTGGTGGTATTTTCTGTTGTAGTGCTTTCTGTTGTTGTGGTCTCGGTCGTTGTGCTTTCTGGTGTTGTTGTACTTGTGGTGGTGTTTTCCGGTGTTGTGGTACCTGTAGTGGTGCTTTCTGGTGTTGTAGTGGCTGTTGTGGTCTCGGTTGTGGTGCGTTCTCTTGTTGTGGTCTCGGATATTGTGCTTTCTGGTGTTGTGGTACCTGTAGTGGTGCTTTCTGGTGTTGTAGTGTCTGTTGTGGTTTCTATTGTTGTACTTCCTGAAGTTGTAATACCAGTGGTGGTATTTTCTGTTGTAGTGCTTTCTGCTGTTGTGGTCTCGGTCGTTGTGCTTTCTGGTGTTGTTGTACTTGTGGTGGTGTTTTCCGGTGTTGTGGTACCTGTAGTGGTGCTTTCTGGTGTTGTAGTGTCTGTTGTGGTTTCTATTGTTGTACTTCCTGAAGTTGTAATACCAGTGGTGGTATTTTCTGTTGTAGTGCTTTCTGCTGTTGTGGTCTCGGTCGTTGTGCTTTCTGGTGTTGTTGTACTTGTGGTGGTGTTTTCCGGTGTTGTGGTACCTGTAGTGGTGCTTTCTGGTGTTGTAGTGTCTGTTGTGGTTTCTATTGTTGTACTTCCTGAAGTTGTAATACCAGTGGTGGTATTTTCTGTTGTAGTGCTTTCTGCTGTTGTGGTCTCGGTCGTTGTGCTTTCTGGTGTTGTTGTACTTGTGGTGGTGTTTTCCGGTGTTGTGGTACCTGTAGTGGTGCTTTCTGGTGTTGTAGTGTCTGTTGTGGTTTCTATTGTTGTACTTCCTGAAGTTGTAATACCAGTGGTGGTATTTTCTGTTGTAGTGCTTTCTGCTGTTGTGGTCTCGGTCGTTGTGCTTTCTGGTGTTGTTGTACTTGTGGTGGTGTTTTCCGGTGTTGTGGTACCTGTAGTGGTGCTTTCTGGTGTTGTAGTGTCTGTTGTGGTTTCTATTGTTGTACTTCCTGAAGTTGTAATACCAGTGGTGGTATTTTCTGTTGTAGTGCTTTCTGCTGTTGTGGTCTCGGTCGTTGTGCTTTCTGGTGTTGTTGTACTTGTGGTGGTGTTTTCCGGTGTTGTGGTACCTGTAGTGGTGCTTTCTGGTGTTGTAGTGTCTGTTGTGGTTTCTATTGTTGTACTTCCTGAAGTTGTAATACCAGTGGTGGTATTTTCTGTTGTAGTGCTTTCTGCTGTTGTGGTCTCGGTCGTTGTGCTTTCTGGTGTTGTTGTACTTGTGGTGGTGTTTTCCGGTGTTGTGGTACCTGTAGTGGTGCTTTCTGGTGTTGTAGTGTCTGTTGTGGTTTCTATTGTTGTACTTCCTGAAGTTGTAATACCAGTGGTGGTATTTTCTGTTGTAGTGCTTTCTGCTGTTGTGGTCTCGGTCGTTGTGCTTTCTGGTGTTGTTGTACTTGTGGTGGTGTTTTCCGGTGTTGTGGTACCTGTAGTGGTGCTTTCTGGTGTTGTAGTGTCTGTTGTGGTTTCTATTGTTGTACTTCCTGAAGTTGTAATACCAGTGGTGGTATTTTCTGTTGTAGTGCTTTCTGCTGTTGTGGTCTCGGTCGTTGTGCTTTCTGGTGTTGTTGTACTTGTGGTGGTGTTTTCCGGTGTTGTGGTACCTGTAGTGGTGCTTTCTGGTGTTGTAGTGGCTGTTGTGGTCTCGGTTGTGGTGCGTTCTCTTGTTGTGGTCTCGGATATTGTGCTTTCTGGTGTTGTGGTACCTGTGGTAGTACTTTCTGTTGTAGTGTTTTCTGTTGTTGTGGTCTCTGTTGTCGTAATTTCTGGAGTTTTTGTGCCAGTGGTTGTATTTTCGGTAACTGTGGTGCTTTCTGGAGTTGTGGTACCGGTTATGGTGCTTTCTGTTGTTTTCGTCTCTGTTGTGGTCTTCGTTGTTGGGCTTTCTGGTGTTGTAGTACCCGTGGTGGTGCTTTCTGTTGTTGTAGTGTCTGTTGTCGAGCTTTCTGTAGTCGTGGTTTCCATTGTTGTAATTTCTGAAGTTGTAATACCAGGGGTGCTACTTTCTGTTGTTGTGGTCTTCGTCGTTGTGCTTTCTGGTGTTGTGGTACCTGTGTTGGTGCTTTCTGTTGTTGTAGTGTCTGTTGTGGTCTCGGTTGTTGTGCTTTCTGGTGTTGTGGTACCTGTGTTGGTGCTTTCTGTTGTTGTAGTGTCTGTTGTGGTCTCGGTTGTTGTACTTTCTGGTGTTGTGGTACTTGTTGTTGTGCTTTCTGGTGTTGTTGTACCTGTGTTGGTGCTTTCTGGTGTTGTGGTAGCTGTGTTGGTGCTTTCAATAGTTGTGGTTTCTGTTCTTGCGCTTTCTGAAGTTGTAATAACAGGGGTGCTTCTTTCTGTTGTAGTGCTTTCTGTTGTTGTACTTTCTGAAGTGGTGGTGCCAATGGTTGTACTTTCTGTCATTGTGGTGCTCTCTGGAGTTGTGGTACCAATTGTACTGCTTTTTGTTGTTGTGTTCTCGGTTGTTGTGCTTTCTGCTGTTGTGGTATCTGTTGTGGTGCTTTCTGTTGTTGTAGTGTCTGTTGTGGTGCTTTCTGTAGTTGTGGTTTCCATTGTTGTACTTTCTGAAATTGTAGGACCAGGGGTGGTACTTTCTGTTTTAGTGCTTTCTGTTACTGTGGTCTCTGTAGTGGTACTTTCTGGAGTGGTTGTGCCAGTGGTTGTACTTTCTGTCACTGTGGTGCTTTCTGGAGTCGTGGTACCGGTGGCGGTGCTTTCTCTTGTTGTGGTCTCTGTGGTAGTACTTTCTGTGGTTGTGCCTTCTGTTGTTGTTATCTCAGTTGTGGTGGTACTCTCTATTGTTGTGGTTTCAGTTGTTTCCCCGGGGGTGGTACTTTCTGTTGTTGTGGTCTCCTTTGTTGGACTGTCTGGATTGGTGCTGCCAGTGGTTGTACTTTCTAACACTATGGTGCTTTCTGGAGATGTGGTGCTTGTTGTGGTGGTGCTTTCTGTTGTTGTGCTTTCTGTTGTTGTGGTCTCTGTTGTCGTAATTTCTGGAGTGGTTGTGCCAGTGGTTGTACTTTCTGTCACTGTGGTGCTTTCTGGAGTAGTGGTCTCGGATGTTGAGCTTTCAGGTGTTGTGGTACCTTTGGTGGTGCTTTCTGGTAATGTGGTAGCTGTGGTGGTGCTTTCTCTAGTTGTTGTTTCCATTGTTGTACTTTCTGAAGTTGTAATACCAGGGGTCGTACTTTCTGTTGTAGTGCTTTCTGTTGTTGTGGTCTCTGTTGTTGTACTTTCTGAAGTGGTGGTGCCAGTGGTTGTACTTTCTGTCATTGTGGTGCTTTCTGGAGTTGTGGTCTCTGTTGTGGTCTCAGTCGTTGTGCTTTCTGGCGTTGTTGTACTTGTGGTGGTGCTTTCTGTTGTTGTAGTGTCTGTTGTGGTCTCAGTTGTTGTGCTTTCTGGTGTTGTGGTACCTGTAGTGATGCTTTCTGGTGTTGTGGTACCGGTTGTGGTGCTTTCTGTTGTTGTGGTCTCGGTTATTGTGCTTTCTGGTGTTGTGGTACATGTGATCGTGCTTTGTGTTGTTGTAGTGTCTTTTGTGGTGCTTTCTATAGTTGTGATTTCCATTGTTGTACTTTCTGAAGTTGAAATAACAGGAGTGGTACTTTCTGTTGTAGTGCTTTCTGTTGTTGTGGTCTCTGTTGTGGTCTCGGTCGTTGTGCTTTCTGGTGTTGTTGTACTTGTGGTGGTGCTTTCCGGTGTTGTGGAACCTTTGCTGGTGCTTTCAGCTGTTGTCGTGTCTGTCGTGGTCTCGGTTGTTGTGCTTTCTGGTGTTGTGATATCTGTAGTGGTGCTTTCTCGTGTTGTAGTGTCTATTGTGGTCCCGGTTGTGGTGCTTTCTGTTGTTGTAGTACCTGTGGTGGTACTTTCTGGTGTTGTGGTTCCTGTGGTGGTGCTTTCTGTTGTTGTAGTGTCTGTTGTGGTTTTCATTATTGCACTTTCTGAATTTGTAATACCATGCGTGGTACTTTCTGTAGTAATGCTTTCTGTTGTTGTACTTTCTGAAGTGGTGGAACCAGTGGTTGTACTTTCTGTCATTGTGGTGCTTTCCGGAGTTCTGGTACCGGTTGTGGTGCTTTCTGGTGGTGTGGTACCTGTGGTAGTGCTTTCTGGAGATGTGTTACCTGTTGTGGTGCTACCTGTTGTTGTAGTGTCTTTTGTGGTCTCTGTTGTTTTGCTTTCTGGTGTTGTGGTCTCTGTTGTGGTCTTGGTTGTTGTGCTTTCTGGTGTTGTGGTACCTGTGGTGGTGCTGGTGGTACTTTCTGGTGTTGTGGTTCCTGTGGTGGTGCTTTCTGTTGTTGTAGTGTCTGTTGTGGTTTTCATTATTGCACTTTCTGAATTTGTAATACCATGCGTGGTACTTTCTGTAGTAATGCTTTCTGTTGTTGTACTTTCTGAAGTGGTGGTGCCAGTGGTTGTACTTTCTGTCATTTTTGTGGTTTCTGGAGTTGTGGTGCTTTCTGCTGTCGTGGTCTCTGTTGTGGTCTCCGTTGTTGTGCTTTCTGGTGTTGTGGTACTTGTGGACATGCTTTCTGGAGTTGTGGTACCTGTGGTGGTGCTTTCTGTTGTTGTGGTCTCTGTTGTTGTACTTTTTTGAGTGGCTGTACCAGAGTGGTCTCTGTTGTGGTCTTGGTTGTTGTGCTTTCTGGTGTTGTGGTACCTGTGGTGGTGCTTTCTGGAGATGTGTTACCTTTGGTGGTGCTACCTGTTGTTGTAGTGTCTGTTGTGGTCTCAATTGTTGTGCTTTCTGGTGTTGTGGTATCTGTAGTGGTGCTTTCTGGTGTTGTGGTGCTTTCTGTTTTTGTAGTGTATGTTGTGGTTTCCATTGTTGTACTTTCCGAACTTGTAATTCCAATGGTGGTACTTTCTGTTGTAGTGCTTTCTATTTTTTTGGTCTCAGTTGTGGTGCTTTCTGGTGCTGTGGTGGCTGTGGTGGTGCTTTCTGGAGTTGTGGTATTGGTTGTGGTGCTTTCTGTAGTGGTCTCGTGCGTTGTGCTTTCTGGGGTTTTTCTACCGGTTGTGGTGCTTTCTTGTGTTGTGGTACCTTTTGTAGTGCTTTCTGTTGTTGTAGTGTCTGTTGTGGTGCTTTCTGTAGTTTCAATATCAGGCGTGGTACATTCTGTTGTGGTGCTTTCTGTTGTTGTACTTTCTGAAGTGGTGGTGCCAGTGGTTGTACTTTCTGTCATTTTTGTGGTTTCTGGAGTTGTGGTGCTTTCTGCTGTCGTGGTCTCTGTTGTGGTCTCCGTTGTTGTGCTTTCTGGTGTTGTGGTACTTGTGGACATGCTTTCTGGAGTTGTGGTACCTGTGGTGGTGCTTTCTGTTGTTGTGGTCTCTGTTGTTGTACTTTTTTGAGTGGCTGTACCAGAGGTTGTACTTTCTGTCACTATGTTGCTTTCTGTAGTTGTTGTACCGGTTGTGGTCCTTTCTGTTGTTGTGGTCTCTGTTGTGGTCTCGGTTGTCGTGCTCTCTGGAGTTGTGGTACCTGTGGTGGTGCTTTCTTTTGTTGTTGTACTTACTGGAGTGGTTGTGCCAGTGGTTGTACTTTCTGTCACTGTGGTGCTTTCTGGAGTTGTAGTACTGGTTGTGGTGCTTTCTGTTGTTGTGGTCTCTGTTGTTATACTTTCTGGTGTTGTGGTAGCTGTGGTGGTGCTTTCTTTTGTTATAGTTTCTGTTGAGGTGCTTTCTTTATTTTTGGTTTCCATTGTTGTACTTTCTGAAGTTGTAATACTAGGTGTGGTACTTTCTGTTGTTGTGGTCTCTGTTGTTGTACTTTCTGGAGTGGTTCTGCCAGTGGTTGTACTTTCTCTCACTGTGGTGCTTTCTGTTGTTGTGCTTTCTGGAGTTGTTTTACCGGTTGTTGTTCTTTCTAGTGTTGTGGTACCTGTGTTTGTGCTCTCTGGTGTTGTGGTTCCTGTGGTGGTGCTTTCTGTTGTTGTTGTAGTGTCTGTTGTGGTGCTTTCTGTAGTTCTGGTTTCCATTGCTCTACTTTCTGAAGTTGTAATACCAGGGGTGGTACTTTCTGTTGTGGTGCTTTCTGTTGATGTACTTTCTGAAGTGGTGGTGCCAGTGGTTGTACTTTCTATCATTGTTGTGCTTTCTGGAGTTGTGGTACGGGTTGTGGTGCTTTCTGTTGTCGTGGTCTCTGTTGTAGTCTCGGTAGTGGTGCTTTCTGGTGTTGTGGTACCTGTGGTCATGCTTTCTGGAGTTGTGCTACTTTCTGTTGTTGTACTTTCTGGAGTGGTTGTGCCAGTGGTTGTACTTTCTGTTGTTTTGCTTTCTGGAGTTGTTTTACCGGTTATTGCACTTTCTGGGGTTGTCGTACCTGTGGTGATGCTTTCTGGTGTTTTGGTACCTGTGGTGGTGCGTTCTGTTGTTGTAATGTCTGTTGTGGGTCTTTCTGTAGTTCTGGTTTCCATTGCTGTACTTTCTGAAGGTGTAATAACAATGGTGGTACTTTCTGTTGTTGTACTTTCTGAAGTGGTTGTTGCAGTGGTTGTACTTTCTGTCATTTTGGTGCTTTCCGGAGTTGTGATATCGGTTGTGGTGCTTTCTGTTGTCGTGGTCTCTGTTTTGGTCTCAGTTGAGGTGCTTTCGGATGTTGTGGTACCTGTGGTGGTGCTTTCTGGTGTTGTGGTACCTGTGGGGGTGCTTTCTGTTGTTGTAGTGTCTGTTGTGGTGCTTTCTGTAGTTGTGCTTTCCATTGTTTTACTTTCTGAAGTTGTTATACTAGTACTTTGTATTGTTTTGGTCTCGGTTGTTGTCCCGGGGGTGGTACTTTCTGTTGTTGTGCTTTCTGGAGTGGTTGTGCCAGTGGTTGTAATTTTTGTCACTGTGGTGCTTTCTGGAGTTGTGTCATCGGTTGTGGTGCTTTCTGTTGTTGTGGTTTCTGTTGTAATACTTTCTGTAGTGGTGATGCCTTCTGTTATTGTGTTCGCTGTTGTGGTGGTACTTTCTATTGTTGTGGCCTCGGTTGTTTTGCTGGGGGTGATTCTTTCTGTTTTTGTTGTCTCCATTGTTGTACTTTCTGGAATAGTGGGGCCAGTGGTGGTACTTTCTATTCTTGTGTTTTCAGTTGTTGTGCTTTCTGGTGTTGTGGTACCTATGTTGGTGCTTTCTTTTGTTGTTGTTGTAGTGTCTGTTGTTGTGCTTTCTGTAGTTGTCATTTCCATTGTTGTACTGTCTGAAGTTGTATTACCTGGGGTGGTTCTTTCAGTTGTTGTGGTCTTTGTGATAGTACTTTCTGGAGAGGTGGTGCCTTCTGTTGTTGTAATCTCAGTTGTGGTTCTGGTGGTCGTACTTTCTATTGTTGTGGTCTCTGTTGTTGTCCCGGGGGTGGTACTTTCTGTTGTTGGGGTGTCTGTTGTGCTTTCTTTAGTGTTTGTGGCAGTGATTGTACTTTCTGGAGTTGTGGTACCAGTGGTGGTTCTTTCTGTTGTTTTGGTCTTTGGGGTAGTACTTTCTGGAATGGTGGTGCCTTCTGTTGTTTTGATCTGAGTTGTGGTGTCTGTGGTGGTACTTTCTTTTGTTGTGGTTTCAGTTGTTGTACTCGCTGAAGTGGCTTTGCCAGTAGTTGTACTTCCTGTCATTGTGTTGCTTTCTGGAGTTGTGGTCTTTGTTGTGTTTTCTGGTGCTGTGGTACCAATGATGGTGCTTTCTGTTGTTGTGATCTTGTTTGTGGTGCCTGTGCTGGTACTTCCTGTTGTTGTGATACTTTCTGTACTTGTGGCCTCTGGTGTTGTGCTTTCTGGTTTTGTTGAATCGATGATGGTACTTTCTGTCATTGAGCTTTCTGTTGTTATGATCGCTGCTGGTGTACTGTCTGGAGTTTTGGTCATGGTCATGGCCCTTTCTGTTGTTGTAGTTTTCTTTGTGGTGCTTTCCGGATTTGTTATGCTACTTGTAGTGCTTTCTGTTGTTGAGGTTTCTGTAGTATCACTTTCTGGAGTGGTGGTGCCAGTGGCTTTACTTTCTGTTGCTGTGGTGCTTTTGGTTGTTGTGTTTTCTGTTGTTGTGGTGCCTGTGTTGGTGCTTTCAGTTTTTGTAATGTCCATTGTGGTCTCTGTGGTAGTTCTTTGTAGTGGTACTGGATTGGTTGTGCCAGTTGTGATGCTTTCTGTAATTGTGGTGGTTTCTACTGTTGCAGGCTCCGTTGTTGCACTTTCTGGAGTTGCGGTAGTAGTGGTGGTACTTTCTGTTGTTGTAGTTTCCATTGTTTTACTTTCTGTTGTTGTGATGGTGTTTTCTGTTGTTTTGGTCGCTGTTGTGGTGCCTTCTGGATTGGTGATACCAGTAGTCATACCTTCTGTCTTTGTGGCTTCCATTGTGGTACTTTCTGGAGTTTTGGTGCTCTCTGTTTTTTTAATCTCAGATGTGGTGCTGGCTGTTGTTGTGGTGTCTGTTGTGGTACTTTCTGTTGTTGTAATGCTGGTTACTGTGTTTTCTGTAGTTGTGTTCTCATTTGTGGAACTTTCTGGAGTTGTGGTGCCAGTGGTGGTGCTTTCTGTTGTTGTGGTGGTTTCTATTGATGTGGTGTCTTTTGTGGAACTTTCTGGAGCTATGGTGCTGCGGTCTGTTGTTTTTAGTTCTGTGGTAGTACTTTCTGCATTCCCAGTGGCCATGATTGTAGTTTCTATGAATGTTGTTTTCATATTTGAGGTTGTTTCTATCATTGTAGTAGTATAGGAAATTATGTTCTTCCCAATATCTGAAAAAAAATCATAATAATAATTTAAACAAGATACATTTAAATACATATATAGTGGTGCCCAAAATGATTAGAACACTAGTATTTTCACCAGCTAAAAAATAGTTTTAAGTCACTTATTTCTATCTTTTGCTGTAGTGTGTCAGTAGGAAATATCAGTTTACATTTCCAAACATTTATTTTGCCATTAATTGTAATAATCCAGTGAGATTTTTGTACATGGAGTCTGACAACAGCCAGAGCTCCACACAAAGATCTGATCTCATCATCATCCAGTCTGTCTGGAATGAAATGAAGAAACAGAACAAACTGAGACAGACTAAAATCCAGAAGAACTGTAGCAACATCTCCAAGATGCTTCAAGAAACCTACCTGCAAAGCTTCAGCACTGTTAAAAGTTTTAGGCTCTTGTGTAAAAATGCTGTAAAATGAGTTAACTTCTATTAACTAAATTAAACATTTGGTGTGAGCATCCTTTGTGT